TCCCCTTTGCCTTTTTCTACACCTTTTGCGCTGATTCCTTTTGTCTTCTCATCTCTCTGCTGCTGTACCCTCTTTCTTCTAAACCAGTGTTGCCAACCCTACCGATTTTTCGGTAGATCTATCGATTTTGGAATCATTCTACCGAAATACGGGACCTCATCTACCAGGATTTGATTTTTTTAATTTGTTACACTATTTTATTTTTTCTATAATACATTTGCAATAAATTTCTTTTCTTTATTAACTGATACTCAAAAAGGTATGCAACAATTTTAACAGCAATCTCAAAAGCGTTCACATAAGCATTGTTTTGGTTCACTTTCGTAACTGTTTCAGAACCATTGGAGCTGTTTTGGTTTCGCCAGTTCTGTGTTTTGGGTTTTCTTGGGAATGGTCCCATAACCATTCTCGAACAGTAACTTCGGTTCTGGCCCAAAATCGAGAACTGTTTCAAAATTGATATGTTTGCGCTTGTGCTTTTTTGCAATTAATTTTATTTTTGAGATTTTGGCCATATTTCGAATGTCTAATGAGAATGGGACAGCAGCTGATTAGTTGATGTTGGATTATAAGTTTTTTTATGAATAAATTATTTAATTTCTCTACGTTTTACAATATTATATGGCCTCTTTTTTACTTAGGTCCGTATTTATAAATAGAACTCAGCTGGGTCGGACTTGGGTGAGTCGTCCTTGAACTAAAATCGAAGTTCGGTTACAACTTCTCTAAAGTTTTAGGTGGTTCCGGTGTTACACTGGAATTAAGAGATGTATAGGCGCAAATCTGTAACTGTTAAGTACATTTACGAATTTGTTACTACCTATCTCTAAATTCACGCCGCGATATAACCGAATTTCGATTTTCGTTCAAGGACGACTCAGGTGAGGCGGACTTGGATAAGATCTGTTTATAAATACGGACCCAAGGTCCCAAAGTTTTTATTTTTTAGTGTGTTTATGTTATTCTCTTTTTGTACGTTCACCAAAAAAAATATTTTTCCCATTGTATTTTTTGTAAAATTCAAATTTGCCTTCTTTTTTTCAAATCTACCGATTTTTGACGAAATAATATTCCGATATTAGAATGTTCAGGTTGGCAACACTCTTCTAAACTTTAAAATAATTTATCTTTAAAAGTAAACAGTTAAAAATGTTTGTTAATTCTGTGAGTATTTACTCCTGCAATTAGGAACTGTCAAGCAGTGGTTGATAGACCTCGAGGTTTTCTCTCTTTGTTGAAAATTATATTTACTGTATGATTATTTGGAAGATGACGACGAAATGTCTGGAAAGTCCGTATATAAAAATATTTTATGATGCTTGTCGCAGAAAAATTAAGAACAAATATTTGTACATGTAATAACTCATTGTACGAGTAAGAGTTAAATACCCCGGCCTGAATGGAATATATACGAACTCATTTAAAAAATGGTAATTTCTATGAATTGACTCTATTCATTTTAATATTTCAATAATAATAGGATGCGTAATTTCCTATGATGATTAACGAACAATATTTGTTTGAATAATGACAGTAATTATTTATTGAAAATATTTGCATGTTCGTTAAGCGGGAAAATAAAATAAATATTTGATTGATTTGACGCATCAAACTGTACAATATACAGTGTTTATTTTTTCGTGTTAGGCATACGACTAGTATACAATTTAATTAAATGTCAGTCGTCAATTAGAATTAGAATATATAGCGGTGGGATATTAACCGAACCGAACGTGAGACACAAAGCAAAAGAACATAGCGATAGCGGAGATATCGTAGTTGCTACATGTTTGCTGTGAAAGCACGGCCTAATACATAATAATAAGTACTGTATATGAAAATAATAATCCCCAGTTATCCGCACCTCCAAAGTGAATACAATGTAAGAAAGTAAACAAACACATTTAACTGAACCAATATATTTTCTGGAATGAATTGAGATATATAAAAACACTTATACAATTCAACAGAAAAAATCTGATTGCCTACCTTAAAAATAATCCTATGCGACTTTTCTCGAAAATTATTGCAACATCGTATAGAATAGGGGCCATTTTCAATAATTTCAATATTAAAAAGGAAGGAAGGTCATCAACCACAGAAACTACGAAAACTGAGAGTCAGCAAGAATAAAAAAAAACAGGATTAACCATAAAATTAGTCACTCTAGGAGGAGGATTCAAAAAGAGAATCCACTATGAGCTAGACATGGGGATATTAGCAAAATTTAGACGTGCCCTTAAGTGAATATAATGTGGTGAATTCTAATTGAATGTCTATAAATTATCAAGTTGGTAAATTTTTTATAAAATTATTCAGTGAGGTGTGAATGATAATAAACTATATATTTTTATATTTTATAAACCGAATTCGCTCTGCTCCACCCGCAAATATTTACTCATTACATAAAATAAGGCATTTCGTAACTGGTTTCATAAATAGCTATTACGCGCCATTCTGTATTAATTCTTTGAAAATTTGCTGCTTTTTTGTTTTAATAAATATCTAGCAGTTTTTAAATGGGAGGATTTCCCACCTTTTTTTCTTAAATGTTTTTGTAGAGTGCTGCCTTATCGTTATACAAATTTAAAGCTCTCAATATTCTCGAGACACATAACATTTCGAAGTATTTTAAATTAAATTAGAAAATCATAACATGTTTTATACATTTCACGTCGTAATTTGTAAGACAAGTTTGTAACATCTTTACGTCGTAATTTGTAAGAAAATTTTGTAAAAAGATTCAATAACAAAACAGTTATTTTTAAAGTTTATTGCATACAAATATTTTTGTTCTGTATTAAAAAGTTTGTGTTTGAAAAGTACAAGTATTAATAAAATATCAACCATTGTGCATAACTGCATAATATGTATATTAAGTTGTACCTATTTTATAACAATTAGCAACAGTTTTTTTTACTATATGTGGCCCGCTAACCCAACCTTTTTTTTTAAATATTTGGGCAATTTTGCCCCCGTAGGAAGAAATTTGGGAACTTGAAATGAAAAAGAATTGTGAGAAAATCGGTTTAAAAAATGCAATTTTTGGAAAATGTGAAATTAAGAAAAATGTATCCAAAGTGTAAACAAACCAAAAAAAATTGAAAAAGGTGAGAAAAAAAAAAGAAAGAAACTAAACCGATTTTCTCACCTTTCTATGTAAAATAACACTATTATGTGTTCGTATATACTGGGTGGCCAAACGAAAACGTACTAGAGCCATTGTCAGAAACTGAATTTTTTGAATAAATTAGTAATAATGTCATTTTTTGTAATCGCTAATATTGTCGTCAGCAATAGTTGATATATTGTTTAAAATAACTTAATCTAAAATGTGAACAAATACAAATTAATACCTGTATTAAATTGGACAGTTTTTAAATAACAGTCAGATGCATAGTATAAAGGAGGGTAGGTAGAAAATGTTAATATCATCAAGCATGTACAATTATGAAAGGCAGCCATCTTTTAAAAAGATGAGACTCACGCGATTGTGCATTGAAATTTACAGGATAGGACTGACACATTTAAACAGAATTCGAAAATATTCAGGATTTCATTAAAAAATAGAACTAAACTTTAAGAATTAGTAATATAATTGAAATAATTTTATTTTTCTTTTTATAGGTTTTAAGATAATTATAAAACTGAAAGTCTCACTTTAAACTTTATTTCATATCAAATACAATATAATAAAATTAAATACCATTTCATTTGAAACATATGTCTATAGTTTGAAGTTTATTTAGAAGGGATGCCGTTAGAAATGATATCTCACGGTAATTTCTCACAGTATAAAGAATTAATAAATAAATAACTTTTAACCCAAGTAAGCTATGAGAAAAATTTAGCTTTTTATTCGCGATTCAAGCTAAGTGATATGCACTGTGGAGGAAATGTGTAAAAGATAAGTAGGACTTTGTTCAGCGTTGCCAGGAGTACCGGAATTTTGCTACGTTGTCGAATTTTTAATCCTTGAAGAAATGGAAAGACCATTTTTTTAGGTAGCAAAATTTGTATATAGCAATATGTAATTATCATCTATATTTATTTTAGAATTTTTATAAAACCTATTTATTAGATGTATTGATTTTTTTAAATTTCAGTCCATTTATTAATTTTTCGTGTTGGCTGTTTATATTTTAATTTGAATTAATTATAATTCGAATTTTTTTCTTACTTTGCAAGAATTTATTTTTTTTATTTTTTATAGTGTGTAATAGTGTTTATATTAAAAATAAAATTTTCGAAAAAGGCTCCAGAAAATTGCAATCCATATGATGTTAATGTTAAAATCAAAACTGTTTTCTTTATTTTCCAAGCGCAAATCGTAAAATTTTGTTTCTTACGATATATGGATATCTACAAATTCATATGTTTGAGATTTTGAAAAATTTTGTCTGTAATCAAACTGCCAATCTGCTTTGCGACAGTTTTATTACCGTTTACATGTATACACCATTCTCTTCATAACATAAAAATAAGTATTGCAAGATTTTTAATTAGTTTTATCAATAATAAACGTTTGGTACCTGAAATTTCCTTTAAACCATATAACAAAACATGTCCTGCGTTTAGTACACAAATATTTCCAATTGTTTGTGTAACATCCAGATAGGTGAAGATTTCTAACACATGATAAATATTATATTTATGACGAAAGCACGAAATCTAAACTTAAATTAACACTAAATGAAACTCACAAACACTATAATAATGATATTATCTAAAAAAACCAATGAACTCCTTTTTTCACTTTCTATTGACGGAATTTTTAAAAATCCTTTAAATTTCCCACTTTTAGGTCTATTTGGCCTGTATATTGATTTTGAGGGTATTAATAAAATATACATTTATGTTTTACACACATTGGTATTACATATTATATTTGTTGAAATTTAAATGTAAATATACAAATACATTATTTGCATTATTGTGTATAGCAGAACTTCAAATACGAATTAAATGGTTTTTAATATCCTTGTTTTAACTTGTTTCAGATGAAGCTTACATGAAAATGGCTATGGAAACTATGGAGGAGTTAGATTGGTGTCTGGATCAATTAGAGACCATCCAAACCCATCGATCTGTCTCTGATATGGCTTCATTAAAGGTGAGTCTCCTTATATATTTTTTTCTCGTACTTCTGTCTTTAGCAGTGTCTTCTCCATTCAATTGAGATGACCCCAGCTAAGTTAATAATTATCAGGAACGCTGCAAGAGGCATGCATTAAATATAATAATTATATTATGTATGGGGTATTAATACACTGCGATCTAAAAGAGCTATTATGTCCCCTTCTATAGATGCAGAAAGGGAATAGCATAGATGCCTATAACGCGAGATATGACCCCTACCAAACATATCTTCTCAAGAAAATGGATTTAAAGTAGTATTATATAATATTTATTTCTATAAACGAACCACTCTGACCACAGTGTCCATAGTAATTAATGATATAGCAAAAGGACCCCGCAATAATCTTATGGAAATTGGGTTTCTGTCAACTTGTCTGAATTTTTGATATGTTGTAGATTTTGTCATCCTGAACAAAAGTCTCCATGGGCACAAAGTACTAAAATAAATATTTTGGCAGCTACGGATCTGCCAAAGCTCCCCTGACCCGTTGCAAAACTATTAATTTTCAATACTATTTACAGATGTCAAAAGCATATTTTGATTATTCTAATATATAGGGTAATGTTTTTGAGGTCACTGGATTCAACCCTCATGTCAGATTGGACAAATTGACCGTTGACAGCTCTCAATTCACGGTCAACGAGGAGTACAGTTCATCAAATTTCTAGAGGCTTTCGACGGCTAGACAGAGAAAGCACTACTGACAGGCATCCCGACGGATTTACGCAATGAAAGTACACTCTGCGCATCAAGTATTTCACTATTTTATTCAGACGTAAATGTCAGATGTAAATTTCGCTAAAACATTTCTTTTATTTTCGTTTGTGTTTTTTGCTCATTACAGTTTAATAGAACCTAAGTATGGAGTTTAATAGCAAATTAAGAGGCCGCGTGATTAACAGTCAATCTCGCGAAAAAATAGCCAATGTTATAGAGTTTATGAGAAGAGAAGGAAACTTTAATTCACCTTCAATACCATTTAAAAATGTGAATGATCGTGTTGCTGCAGCCACAGGAGTATCTAAAAACACTGTCGTCCGCATTTCTGGAGAGAAAAAAAGAATCGATAACCGTGAGATATCGGAATTTTCATCACCAAGAAAAACCATTAAAAAACCAAAAACAGTTAATGATATAGATGAAGCTGCACAAGAATCAAATTTTATTTTTTTATTATTAGATAGCTATTTTTGTTTCTGAGTTGTGTTCATTTACAGGCTCAATTTTTTTCCGTTTCTCCTTTTTGATTTTATATGGGGTTTCAAGTTGTTTTTGACTTATTTCGACGTAAATCACAACACACTTTTTTAATAAAGCAAACAAGTGTTAAGAGGTATATGTACGTGTAAACTACAATTACAAAAAATTGATATGAAACCCATGAAACCACCAACAAAAATGTAAAGCTAGCTTCCGTGCTAGACCATGGTGTCATTCGTCGAGATAATTTATCATTTCGTTTAATAGATCAAGAAATGTAAATATTCCCCTGTTATTTTTTATAAAATTATAAGAGAAATAAATTTTTTTCTAAATAGTATAGTTTATTATTTTGTATAAAAACAAAATTTCGAAAATTTTAGTAATGTTTCAGAAACGACCGTTATTAATAATAGGTACCATTTTCCTTAATAAGGTAGCAATAAAATTTAAACTATTTCCACGATTTACAAAGGCCTACAAAAAAATTATAGGTATTTTCCGCTATCCTATAAAATTTATATTTTCTGACTCAATTTCAAAAGGTTGAAGGAATTCCAAAACACCTTTTATGGCATAATAATTATTTTCAATTCTACATACTATCTTTAGCTGCTTTTAAAAACGTTCTAAGAAAGTCCAATCAGACCAATTTAATCCCTAAACTATTCCATACTTTTAAAATTTAATTACCTAAAAATATTAAAAACTATTTAAAATAACTTGTTTAGCAGACTGTACAATAGCTATCTTAGTCACACGTAGCGCGTTCTCTGTCTGGGCGTCGAACACCTCTAGAAATTTGATGAACTGTATAAAAGAAAATATCCTCTTTTCACATTAAGAGTTTGGGTTTTTGAGGTCGTTGACAGTTGACTGCTATTAACTGTCAATTTGTCCAATCTGACATGAGAATTGAATTCAGCGACCTCAAAAACTCTCAATGTGAAAAGAGGATATTTACTTTTATATTCCTCGTTGACCGTGAATTGACAGCTGTCAAAGGTTAATTTGTCCAATCTGACATGAGAATTGAATTCAGCGACCTCAAAAACCCAAACTGTCAATGTGAAAAGAGGATATTTACTTTTATATGCCTTGACAGTCAATTAACAGCTGTCAACTGTCAATTTGTCCAATCTGACATGAGAATTGAATTCAGCGACCTCAAAAATCCAAACTCTCAATGTGAAAAGAGGATATTTACTTTTATATTCCTAGTTGACAGTGAATTGACCGCTGTCAACGGTCATTTTGTCCAATCTGAAATAATGGTTGAATCCAGTGACCTCAAAAATATTACCCTATATATTAGAATAATTAAAATATGCTTCTGACATCTGTAAATAGTATTGAAAATGAATAGTTTTGCAACGGATCAGGGGATCTTTGGCAGCTCCGTAGCTGCCAAAATATTCATTTTGGCACTTTGTGCCCATGACGACTTTTGTTCAGGATGACTAAATCTACAACATATCAAAAATTCAGATAATTTGACAGAAACCCAATTTCCATAAGATTATTGCGGGGTCCTTTCACATAAAACCATACATTTTTTTTGACATCGTTCAAAAGTTCTATGCATTTTTCTCTCTTTCGACAAGAGGATGGCAATTTTTGAAAAGCACGTTCCAAAATTAATGTTTAAAAGTTTTGTTTATAACTCGAAAACAAAAAACAATAGACAATTTTTGAAAATGCCATTAAGTTTTCTCAAAAAAAGAGATCGAGGATGGGAGGTCCATTTTTCCATACCATTTATAGTTAACGAGATTACCTATTAATACATAAAGAAAACTCCAACATTTACCACACTAAAAGCAGCATTTTAACTTAAATACTTAATGGGCTTTGAATTTTTCTTCAAAACTTCTGCTATATTCATTTCAAAATTAATTTACTAACACTCCCTCAAAACCTGCAATTTGTCGATACTATCAAAATAAAAACGTGCTTGAACTAATTTCCTGACCTCCCACACATGATATTTCGACAAATCTATTTCGTCTGTCTCGACGTGTTACGCAACATATATACGGTATTACGATTACGTCTGGTTGTCATATGCTTTGGTATCATCTAACGGATTAGTGAGTCAGTTGATACGTCGACCTCACATGTGCTTTTTTTTGTGTAATGATATGTAATTTTTATGCAAAAGTGTGCAAAAGTACAGAAATTTGTTTTATAGACCGTATTGAAAGATATTTATGTGGCAAGAATCACGTATACGGTTTTTATATTTCTATAATTGATTTATATACAAATTAGGTGGCCAGACGAAAACACCAACTATTATCACAAACTGTGTGATTATTTTCTTCTGAATTTTGTTATTTAAGTCTTAGGTTTAACCTTAATGGTGGGTATTTCAATAAAATGCCCCTTTTCCATATCAATTATTGATGATGGAACAGTTATCGTTTCTGGTAAAAGAAAAGCACAATCCATTTTAAATGTATCGCCATTATCTGTCTTTAAGAAGTATTTCTGACTCGATACCCAAGTATATATTATTTATAAAAATTATGAATAAGAATGATTTTAAAATAGATCACACAAGGAATTGAATGAGATGTTTGGCCGAGCGAATCATTGAAAAGAGTAATAGTCTTCACCAATATTTATAGCAAAGAAACAAATACATAGTAAACGAAATGAATGTCGAATGGCCAAAATTAAAGCAATAAGATTATTTCTGACGGGGTAAATAATCCCCTACCACATAATTAAGTATATTTCAGCACAAAAGGCGTTGGTACCAAGACGTGTGACGTCATGTGCTATCTCTACAGATTAAGAAAGGAAATATCACTATTAAACAAAAACACTAACGCATATAACATAAGACAATCCACTTCGTAACATATTAATAGTAAAGAATGAACTTAAATATCTATCATAGTTGGTGGACAATGAGTAGGAATGATATATCAAAACCTCCTTCCTTGAGTCGGTGTTCTGGGTTTACCATCTTAGTGTCTGTGGGATCAACAGTAAAAACTTCAAAGGTGAAACACAAAAATTGGACGGTGACACTACTTGTTACTACCAGTCGGTAAAATCGGTCACTAGTACCTTTTTGTTAAAAAAAAGGGTTCAACGACGTCCTAAAACTGGTAGTAGAGGACAAACGACATGATCCAAATCCCAATACGTCATTTGAATACCAATTTACATCCAACAAACGGTGTCGTCCACACAGATTTTAGGATATAATTTCTACATACATTCGTAGGAGTGGTATAACAAAAACTCTTAGAAATCTATCAACTTTTTTAGAAACGTCAATAACCAAAACCACTGACCACCACGAGACGATCACGAAATGAAATCTGTCACAAAACCATGCGGAAAATAGAAGCGCACGCCACGTCGAACCGTCTAGAAGGTTTGAAGATTTGAAGGAACCTCAGATGAACTAAAATTTGGCTATGTACTTTTAGATAATAATTTTGAAAGAAAAATTAACAATATGAATATTATGTGGCACTTTTTGATCATGATTGACCTTCTGAGAAGTGTAGATAATAAATTAAATTATTGGTTGTAAACCCATTCTTCTTAATTCCGTTATTTAGGTTATATATTGTACCTTAATGGTGAATATTCCATTAAAAAGTCCCCCTTTTTCCACATCGATTACTGATGATGGAACAATTATTATATCTGCTAAAAGAAAAACAATCTATTTTAAATATATCGCCGTAATCTGTCAAAATTGATCCTTATTTAGGAAGTATTTATGACCAAGACAAATATTATTTACAAAA